ATTTTTTGATCGTCGCTCTTAGCCAATCAAAATCGAGAATCTGCCGGTCCAAATTGTTGCGGCAGCTATGGTTAATAATTTCCCCAGAACTGCGGCTCAACTATGATCGGAAACTTTTCGAAATTTTCGAAAGTTAAATTTATAAATTTGTAAATTTCTTAAATTTCTTAAATTTCTTATATTTATTAGATTTAGTGGATTTATTTTATTTATTAAATTTAATCTATATAGTAAATTTAAATTTTTATAGCTATTTTCATAATTTCTGGGACACCTGATAAATTTTCGGAATGATTTTTCGGCCGATCCGGTCAAGTTATTGATATCAGGAATAAAAGATTCAATAACAGATATTGGATATACGCAATTTAAGATCAAGCGAATATTATAAATACTGCAGTACATATATTTCTGGTTGAATAAATAAATATGAAACTTTCAAACCATCTTCACTGGCAAATAGTTAAAAAAATTTGGAAGATTTATCAGTTCGAAACACTTAGGCGTCAGCAAGTCCTCTATAAGTCGGGTTCCAAGCACTTTCAAAGATATTGAAAAACTTCCATCACTATCAAGAAAACCACGTTCACTAAAAATGAACGATATAAAATATCTTAAAATCTTAACACAAGAAAAACCTGACTGGTATTTGTATGAACTACGTACAATCCGAAATGAAACTTTGAATGGGATATAAATTAGTCACATAACAATATAAAAAGTTATACACCGACTTAGAAATACACATAAGAAAGTATTTATATATATACAGGTTTTGGCCATCAATTTCGGATACCCCTATCAAGAATGCACCTACTTTTAAATACTTGTTAATTGAAATTTATTATTTGGGGTGGGTACGTTCTTGATAAGGGTGTCCGAAAATGATGGCCAAAACCTGTAATATATATATATATATATTTATAATCCGCGCTTTATATTGCTTGTTAAGATTTATTGGTTGACAAGAATAATTTTTTCATAAGTTTCCGTGTCGGGCAAATATTCAAACGAATGTTCAATAACGTTGAATGTGTCGAAATTATAATGATAAAATTATATTACATATATATAACGTAAACTCTCAAAATAGCGGGCATGGGTGTTGTTTTGAGTTTTGGCCAGAATTAAGCTTAATTTAGGCCAAATTTTGTAATTTTACCCCTGGGCATTATTTCGAAATCAATAACTTAACCGAATCGGCCGAAAAATCATTCGGCAAATTTTATCAGATGTTCGAGGAATTATGAAAATAGCTGTAAAATTTAAATTATTTCAACGGTTAAAAAAATTGACTTTATAATTAGTAAAGTTAAAGCTGTTATAATAAAATCCTTAAACCATAAATATTTTTCATATCGTACTCATTAGTTAACTTCATTAAATAAATATGGTATGGTACTACAAGTTTCGCAAATTTGATTCGCTGTTGTTTATTCAATGAGCGGTATATTCATAGCTGCTTGGACATCTTTACGAAGGAGTTATTGATAATTCTTCTATCAGCACAAAATTTTCCGTTATGGTTTTTCTAATTTTTTACGAATGTTGGATGAAACATAAAAATCACTAGATTTACAGGGGTGACAAAAATATTTACACACCTAAGGACTTGGCTTATAACTCAAAAACTTACTAATTAATCTATGTCCTTGATTTGACTATAGTAATCCTTACTCCTTGAAGATTATTTTATATTATTTTTAGATCATATACTTGCATAATTAGCAAGTTATTTAACTTTACTTTTAGGATTTTGATAAATTCTGTAAATGTCTGTGTTTCTGTGTAAATATTTCAATAACTATCAGTCTAATTTTAATGAAATTTTACTAGTCTATAAAGGAACCTTTTCTCTACCTACTGTAAAAATTTGATCAAATTTTAATCAATACAGCTAAGAAATTAAAAAAATAAAAATTTTATAGGCCAAACTTCTAAGCTAATTTTCTCAATGATTATTAATCTAAAATTAACAATTTTTATTTTATCTAATAGATACACACTTCTTCTACAACATAATTAAAATTTAGCTAAATCTAATTACTAGTTGCAGAAATAAGTCAAAAAATCTATTATAATATGTCAATTTTTATTCATTATCATATATCTCGATTATCTTGGCAACCAGTTATGGACTTGCTATTTTTATTTTTATTTTTTATAGAGAAGACATAGCACTTTTAAATGAAAAAAAGTTCACTTGATTTTAATTACTAGAAGCCGAGATAATTGAGGCTAAAGTTCACTATTAAATTGGTAATATTATGCCATGATTTTCATCAGTGATTGTTATGATTATCACGTGACACAATTGTTAAGGTATACTCAATTCACTTACATGTACTTTCTAACCCCATAGTTTTTTATTAAGTACCTTTTTTATTTATTTTTTCTTCGTATTCAACTAGATTAAAGAATATACGGATTCAAATCCTCCCAGTTCCGTGTTCTGACCCAGTTGAATTGGCCCATAGGTTAATTACATAATATAACTTGATTTGGCATATATATTTGACTTGTAAAAACTAATAAATAATAGAGTCGAATAAGTTAGTATTTAATATATTAAAGTAGAATAGAAATAATTAAATTTTATAACTTAATTTTAGTACATATTATGTTAAAGTGTGGAATTACTTAGTTATATATTTAGTAGTATTTTAAATAATAGAGTCAAATAAGTTAGTATTTAATATATTAAAGTAGAAAAGAAATAATTTAATTTTATAGTTTAATTTTAGTACGTATTATATTAAAGTGCGAAATTACTTAGTTATATATTTGGTAGTATTTTAAATAATAGAGTCAAATAAGTTAGTATCTAATATATTAAAGTAGAATAGAAATAATTTAATTTTATAATTTAATTTTAGTACATTATTATGTTAAAGTGCGAAATTACTTAGTTATATATTTAGTAGTATTTTAAATAATAGAGTCGAATAAGTTAGTATTTAATATATTAAAGTAAAAAAAAAATAATTTAATTTTATAGTTTAATTTTAATACATATTATGTTAAAGTGCGAAATTACTTAGTTATATATTTAGCAGTATTTTAAATTATATATTGATAAATCTTTAATACGTTGCACATTTTGCTGATACTTTTCTAAGTCTTGTTTCTCTAATTCCATACTTTTCTTGTCAAATTTGAGTTTATATCCATAAAACATAGCTGTTAATCCTAAACTTAATACTGTTACTAATGCTGCACATCCTAAGTCAAACATGAATTAACCAAAGCTTTTAGTAGTATGTAAAATAAATAATAAAGAATAAAGCCAAAATTTTAGTTCCTACTTGGCTGTTCTCTCATAAATGCTTATTTCAGTTTGTAATGAGCTAGAGAACTAGTATTAATAAGTAAGAAATATTTAAATAAACATTTGAATTTTATAAAAATAACAATTACAAACCAATTATTCGAATTGATCCTTTTTTACATTAATTTTTAACTATCCAATCAGTAATTTATTTCATTAAATAAGGACAGATTTTGTATTCGACCAGGAACTTGGGGATTTAGTAAACCCAACATTCTTGCTGCTGCATATATTAAAAAATGATGCAGATCTGATCACTAGATCATGAGAGTTTTGATTGTAAAATTGTATGTACAAAGTCCTTTTCTTAGATGAATACATCATATAATTATTTATTTATTTATTTCTCCTCTCTTTTATAACTGGGATAGAATGTTAACTACTAAATCAAATTTATCTGACCTAATTACTGTAGCAACACAACTAGAATTTCTAGCCTAAATTTAACTTAAGTCAATTCGTTATAATATAGTTACTACATTAAAAATAGGTTGCTCATTTTATATGCTCGTTTAATTTGCCCCTTCTCCCTTTTCCATAAGTCCTGAAAAGTGATATTAACAAAAATTAACTTCAAATGGCCTAAATAAACATTAATCAGGGTTGCATATGATGAAAATCTAAATTTACTGCAGATAATAATTAATATTTGATTTACTAGTATTTCGAATACCTTTAATGCCGCATACATAATACAAATCTTTATTGCGTGATTATGCTGTAATTATTTGGTAAGTTTTTTTTTTGAACCGAGCTAAATAAATTAATTTTAATTGTTAATTAGAAATTTTGGAATATAAATATATTTCGTTAAGGTACTTATCGTTATAGCTTTAAATTATAACACTTTCAGAAAGGAAACGTGGAGAAATTATATCTGCGCGAAAGTTAGGCAAGTCATATAGACAAATTGCCAAAATTGTTGGTTGTGGTCACAAGACTGTTGGAAATGTGCTTAACTGACTTGAAAACATATCTCAAGTATTACCAGATCGTTAAGGAAAACCACCAATCTTAGACGAACCGGCACAAGATTATCTAATGCAGCTTGTCTTAAGCAATTGGCATATTACTAAAAAACAGATTCAAGCTGTATTGGAACAGCAAGAAGGCAAAGTAATAATTTAATTTTTTTTTTAATTTAATTTTTTTTTTAATTTACTGTAATTTTTTTTTTAATTTACTGTAATTTTTTTTTAATTTAATTTTTTTTTTATTTGGATCGATTTTTTTTTTAGTTAATTTCTCAAAGAACTATCAGCCGTACTCTTCGCAAAGCTAACCTGGTCTTACGTGTTGCCCGCGTAAAGCCTTTTATTAGTGACAAAACTAAAAAAGAGCGTCAAGAGTGGGCAGAAGCGCATCTTAATTGGACGGCTAAAAATTGAAAGGACGTTCTCTAGTTGGATGAAAAGTATTTTACTTTAGTTCATTCTAATCCTTACTAGCACGTATGGAGGAGGCCAGGCAAAGAATTTAATGTTGATTGCCTTGTTCTAGCAATCAAATTGAAAGGGATTATGATGTGGAGATGTTTTTCTTGGTGGGGTCTCGGGCCTTTTATTCGTCTCTATGGTAGTGTCACAAGTGCATCCTATCATAGGACGCTTATTCGTTATGCCATTCCGAAGCTTCAGAACCAATATCTCAATGGTAATGGGATATTTCAACATAACAGTGCCTCAGTTCATAAAGGCAAAATTGTCAAAAACTATCTAGCTAATAAGTGTGTTAAAATATTTAAATAGCCTCCATATAGCCCAGACCTTAATCCTATTGAGAATCTTTGGTCTGAAATTGAAGTGAATTTTCGAAAGTGTCATCCAAGTCTCGGAAATCTTAATAAACTTGAAAAGATGGTTAAGGAAGAATAAGAAGCGTTGTCTCCGAGTTATTATAGACATCTTGTTGAAAGTGAGATAGACTGTGTCAAAGAGGTATATGATAATGATGGCGGTCATTTATATTATTAATTTTGGGCAGTAATTTTGCTATATATAATGATTATTTGCTAATAAATAAATAAATAAAAGTAGAAAAAAATAAAATGTGAAAAATAAAAAATAATAAAAAATAAAATAAATAAATAAATAAAACGTAAAAAAAAATAACTTAATAATAAAGGCCAGTTTCACTTTGTAGCCTCATGCTTATATGAATATAATTATCAATCAATTCATAGTTAATTATCTGAAATCAAAAAGTTGTACAGTTTGAGAAGGTTTATATACAAATAGTAACAGAACCTTTATCGATATTGGGACAATTAATAAAATAGAGATAGAAATATTATGAGCGAAGGTAGATTAGGCTGTTTGAAGTTAATTTTTCAGTTAACATCACTTTCCTGTCTAGAGATAAAATAAACAAAATTTATTAATGATTGTATTATATCTTATTATATAAATAGGTTTACAAATAAAAATAAATAGGCTTTATAGATTGCAGATTGCAAAATAAACCTAAGCCTTAAGTCTAAAACCCCCTATTATAACGAATTGACTTCAAGTTAATAAATTTAGGCTAGAAATTCTAGTTGTATTGCTAATCAGATCAGATAAATTTAATTCAGTAGTTAACATTAAATTCCTATTATAAAAGGGAGGGCAAAAATAAATAAATAAAAATTATATGATGCATTCATCTGAGAAAAGAACTTTGTACGTACAATTTTTATAGTCAAACATCTCGTGATCTAGTAATCGGGATCTGCATCATTTTTTAAAGAATATATATAGCAGCGATCACAGATCAGAATTTTCCTGGTCGAATACAAATTTTGTTCTTATTGATGAAATAAATTACTATCAGATGGCTTAAAAATTAATGTAAAAAAGATTCGATTCTAATAATTAGTTTGTAATTGTTATTTCCATAAAATTTAAATGTTTATTAAATATTTCTTTTTACTTATTAATATAGCTTATTACAATCAAATAAAAAAAACGCTTGCTAATATTGTGTCGTAAGTCTAAATAAAGATAACGGCAGAAGCTTTTTTTTTAGTAGATTTTCTTGAATTATTTCATCACAAACTGAAATAAGCATTTATGAGAGAATAGCCAAGTAGAAACTAAAATTTTGGCTTTATTCTTTATTATTTATTTTACATATTACTAAAAGCTTTGGTTAATTTATCAATATATAATTTAAAATACTACTAAATATATAACTAAGTAATTTCACACTTAACATAATAACGTACTAAAATTAAATTATAAAATTAAATTATTTCTATTCTACTTTAATATATTAGATACTAACTTATTCGACTCTATTATTTAAAATATTACCAAATATATAACTAAGTAATTTCGCACTTTAACATAATAACATACTAAAATTAAATTATAAAATTAAATTATTTCTATTCTACTTTAATATATTAAATACTAACTTATTCAACTCTATTATTTAAAATACTACTAAATATATAACTAAGTAATTTTGCACTAACATAATAATGTATTACACTCTTCCCGACAATCACTTGACACAAAAATTAGTAAGAAGAAAAAGCGTCTGTTTACTAATTTATAAGACAACACAACAGTGCTAGATACTATCAGACAACAAAAAAAACATAGACACAAGGTAGTTTCACAATAGCTAGTCGACTTGCAAGTGAAAAAAGGGCAAAACTCCAAAAACACAGCGAGAGTGATTTTAAAAGCTGAACGTGACAAAATCAAACAGAAGATTGTATAAGCAATAAAAATTAGTTCAGCAGTAGAAGAAGCCTAGATAGAATGTCAAATATGATATTTCTTGACATAGAAGTGCTAAAACACAAAGGCACTCAAGTTTGTTAAAAAACATTGCTCGCTTCTTTAATTTTAGAGAAAATAGCATTAACTCTGTAGTGTAGATCTTTGGTATAACACAAGATTATTGCACAAAGACACACGAAGATACATGAAATCGACAACCTATTTCATGTAAAGACACGTTAAAAACACGTAAAAACATATAAAACACATGACTTAATAGGAGCTTAAGCCAAAGTTAAAGAGTTATATACCAGTACACAAATCACGTAAAAGAAGCAATGCCAGCACTCTGGAAGTACAGAAACTTCTTTAACCAAACCGATGAGGAGAAACTAGTATTATATAAGAAACAAAAGTCAACCTTAGTTGAACAGGACATTCACATTGCAGGCTTTTTAGGTTGTAAAGATATACTTTTTATAGCAGCTTTATGTAAGGTTGTTGAAAGGTATAATTGGGCCCGAAACAAGGAGTTCAAGCAGGATATACTATCTGACAAGGAGAAAATTCTACTGCGACAAAGCAGTAGTATGGAGATAACACAGAAAGAAGACAATAATCTTAATCCAAGTCCTACAGATATGGAAATTATTTTCACAAAACCTGTGATTATATCTAAAAATTATAGTAACAACACAACTTGCAACAACAATAGCAGCTCTTATAAAAGAAGCCTTGTAGAACAGGAGAATAGTAGTAACTTAGTTGAGTATAACCAAGAAACAAGAGTAAACACACTTATTTAAATGAGATCGGTACATTTGACTATGGTCTTGAAGAGGTACTAGCTAGTAACAAAGTAAGGTCCACAAGAGTAGAAGGCAAACAGAAAAACAAGAGGATACCTATAACTCAAAGTGGGCTCCAAGTGGTGAATACATATCAGAAAAGTATACACATGAATCACTATATTTTTTCACTTT